AGAGAGAGAGAGAGAGAGAGAGAGAGCAACATAGATTAGGATTTTGCAAATGGCTAGTAGCAAAGGCCTGCCTCGGAAGCGTTTCTACCGGGCTCGAGCCCACAGCAATCCCCTGAGCGACTCTCACTTCCCCATCCCCATCACCCCCTCCGATTTCAACTATTCCCTTCACTTCCCCCACTTCTCGAACGTTAACTCAAACTCTGAAGGCCAACAAAAAGACTCTCCTCTTCTTGTAAGGTTTGCAGACGTCGGCTGCGGCTTTGGCGGGCTCCTGGTGCGCCTCTCTCCCCTCTTCCCAACCACCCTCATGCTCGGCATGGAGCTGCGGGACAAGGTTACAGAGTATGTGAAGGAGCGCATCTCCGCCCTACGAGACGCCAACCCTGGCCAGTACGGCAACATTTCTGTGGTGCGCACCAACTCCATGAAGTACCTCCCTAACTACATTGGCAAGGCGCAGCTCCAAAAGCTCTTCTTCCTCTTCCCTGATCCCCACTTCAAGGAGAAGAACCACCGGCGCCGTGTCATCAGTCCCCACCTGCTGGCCGAGTATGCCTACGTGCTCGCCCCTGGCGGCATCATTTACACACTCACTGATGTCGAAGAGCTTGGGGCATGGATGGAAGGGTGTCTTGATGCCCACCCCCTCTTTGAGCCTCTTTCTGAGGAAGAAGTGTGTACCGACCCTGTTGCAGCGATCTTGGATTCAGCTACTGAGGAGGGCCAGAAGGTTGCCAGGAATGAGGGGCAGACATTTCGCTCGGTTTATAGGAGGAGGGTACTGCCGCCGACTGAATGCAGTAGCGGCTAGTTGATATGGATAATTTTTTTCTTTTCTGGCCTTTACTATGTTGAAGAATGTAGGAGAAGATAAGGATACTGTTCCTTTCTCTCCAGGGTTTCCTTCACGAGTGGATCGGAGGTGAAGAAATCCCACGATTTCTGTCTTTTTGTATTATTTATTCTTCAATGTGAAATCCTTCATATGAATGGAACACATATTTCTCTCTTTCTCAGATTATTTATTCTTTCGTTTATTTCGTTTGAATATTTTGTCTTGTATTTTACTTAGTAGCAATGCCTTCTTCTACAATGAACCTTCTGCATTGATGTGATAATGGAAAATGACATCTAATTACGTTCAATATACTTCAAACTTAATAAATCCTCATCAACGATCTCTATGGAGCATATTCCTCAAGAAAAAAAATTGCAATGTGGATACAGTATGTTACCAAGAAGGCTGAAATTTTCTAATAAGTTCTGCATATTTGTTTTCTTTTGGACAATTGATGTTGTACGCTAAATTAAATTGCATCCTCGTCACATTCATATGCCTCGTAGTATTTTCTTTTCACATTTAACTTTGTGTTGGTAAAGATGAGCCCCTGCACCTGTTCTTTGTGAGAAAGGTTCAGCATAAATTTGTGACATGGGAAAGTAATGATGAGGCCCCCACCTAGTCTCTATGGGAGGTTGACAGCATCAATTTTGGTCCTCTAGAAAACCACACTTGCTTCCAAACACTAGAACAGTGGTATTGAATTTTAATGTCATCTAACTACTTTATAATCTTGTCTTGGTATTCTTAATGTATGGGAATGAAATTGTTGAGCATGAGAATGAAAGTGAATTGAATTTATAATCTTCTCTTGGTATTCTTAATGTATGGGAATGAAATTGTTGAGAATGAGAATTGTGAAAAAGAGCCACATACACATGCTGAATGAGAGATAACTTGGGCATACTCTTCTGGAACAAATTAGTTGAAACCCTATGCATTGATCCAGGTCATAAGATACTTATTAGTCCAACAATTCTTGAGTGTCTCATTTCGCTTTCATGATGTTCAGAATTACCTAGAGTAATAACATGGTCCATTTAACCAATTATGCCTAGGAAAATGGTGTATAGATTCACGTTGTTGCATGGCTGTTGTGGTATACCCCAACATGTTGCTTTCTAAAGGATGTGAAGGATCCAATGCCAAAGTAGAGCAGGGGGCCACCTTTCAAGTTCAGTATGGAAAAATATTGGTTCTGAACCTATGCTTTGAGTTAGTTATATTGGAAACATCAAAGCTTATAGGTGATAGAGAGGTCCCATAAGCAAAGAAATCAGAGCAACTTTGGAAACATCTCAAGGAACATTCAAAGTTTAGATGGAACTTCTGAGCAAGGTTCTGTATGTACCATTGACAGTTCAAGGACGATATGTGAATCATCACTGCAGGGATTTATGGAATGGATTATTGTGATGTTTTGTCAGACTATCTACCTATTCATGTCATGAGTGGGCACAGACGGAGTAAAGTATGCCCTAAGAAACTTTGAGCTTGCCATTGGAACATGAGGACCTACTCGTTCAAACGCTTATTTGAGTAAGCAAAAGATTCAAAGTTTGAAACTGGGGCTTTAGAGGGGAGCCTTTGTCTCATTTTGATCCAAAAAATCCTAAACTCTGAGTCATCTACTAGCAACCGCTCCAACACTCAAAGGCAAGCATTGATGGATAGAATGAGGACCCGCCATTTCTAGGAGCAAGCGTCAAAGCAAGTTATCCTCACTCAAAACCAGACAAGAAGGTTTCAGGAGCCTGATAATTTGGAAGTTGAAAGCAATTTCAGGAGCCTGATAGTTTGGAAGTTGAAAGCAATTTCAGGAGCCTGATAGTTTGGAAGTTGAAAGCATGGACGGATAGAATGAGGACCCGCCATTTCTAGGAGCAAGCGTCAAAGCAAGTTATCCTCACTCAAAACCAGACAAGAAGGTTTCAGGAGCCTGATAGTTTGGAAGTTGAAAGCAATTGCTTACTTTCCCAAAAGTTTTTGACATAAAATGTCTTGAAGCCTCTTCTGCCATTAGAAGACTAAAATAACTATTTGGGTACACATGAATGCCCCCCATTGTCAACTTTGGCATGTCCCTTAACCCCGAGTCCTGACCAGAATTCTTCATGGAGACATTATCGCATTAGGCCCATCAATTGTCCAACACAGTAGTCTTGAAGGAGTCTCTATGCTTGTGCTAGAAGTATCTGACGGCGCTTGTGTCTCCCTTGCTTTCCTTTTTCCTCCAGTCATGTCATTGCTCTTGGATTTCCACAAATTGTGAGCATGACTAGATAGTTCAAATGCGAAGTCTGTAACAAATGCTGTATGGTACATAGATATGCAAAGAGGTAAATAAAATTGAGTTTCTTAATTGTAAACGGTATCTTCTGTATTAAATAACGCAGTATACAATTTCGTAAGCGAAAGCATATAGTATTTCTTAATGCAAAGCATGTGTACTATACATTGTTATTTAAAGAATATTAATATGCATTTTTAGCTTTGAAAAACATTGTTTTATGTCAAAATTGAGTACTGTTTTACTTTTGAATACTATATTTTGTGCTCTAATATTTGTGCTACTTATTAAAGTGGGGTACGTATGCTTGTTTTCCATCAAACCACAGTTTGCCATGTTAACATGTTTTTAAATTATCAACACATGTTTTCTCATTGATTTCTTGGTTAGATACTCATAGCTTCCTTCATAAATTTGAAACATAAATTTGAATTCTTATTGTTATCTTTCAAATGTACTTGTTTGGAAAATGTGATTTCCAAGTTGTCACTACTGTGTGTGTTTTAATTAGATTATTTAAAATGAGGATATATTTAGGTGTTTGACCTGATTTTTATTATGGGAAAGCATACAATGAGCACACTACATTTTTAAAGTGGTATTTCACAGACTCACCTGCCAGATGTGATGACTTGGATGGGGGAATTATTGTAGGAAAAATGTAGTATGATCATTGTATACATCCCTTACAAAAATAGTTCCTATTTTCACAAGAGCCTGAGATGAAGGAAGATCATGTTTTTTCCTAATGAACTCTTATCCTATTTTCTCAAGACTCCGTTCAGGACTTGCTAGGGTCCCAAGCCAAATCACACCTGGTTTGACTTGGCTGAGTCTCAGTGATAAAAAAGCCTAAATGGGCTGAAAAATGCTGGACTTGGATGAGTCTCTATATGTTCGATGGCACTTGCTAGGGAAACTGGACTTAGGCAAGTGGACTTGTTTTTAAACACCGATATCTTTAATTGGATAGAATTTCTCATGATTGTATCTTATAATCTGTGCTATTTGTGTGTGTGATCTGTCCTCTGTGCCCATATTTCACAGGTTCATTAGTAGTTTCTAATTACATGTGTGTTACACCCTTATAATTTTAATATTATAGTAGTTTGATGTTATGCCCTATGAGACATACTTAGAATTATACGGTCCATTGTTTGATCATTAAACTTTATTCTGTACTATAATTGGGTTTTATTAAGGGTCTTATAGCAACTCCTCAACAATAGATGGTTGAGTCTTTCCTTCCCTCGAAAGTTCATTTTGTTGTCAACTTTGGACTGTTGAGTAGTTGATAGCGGAATGTTTTCCATCCAAATGCTAGTTTAGCATTTTATATACATGACAAATTGTATATTTGTCTTGCATGTGTTATATGCTACAATATGTGGGTCAAATTTTATATATTATGCTAATTCTGGCTTTGTTAAACCAAATAATAAATCTTAGCAAGAGCATCCTTTGGGCTCACTGAACCCTTATTTCCATTGAGTTCACATGATCCAACAATGGAGAAGCTTGAGCCAAAATAATCTATATGGGGACAATTGGATATGGCCTTTTACTGGTCAAGAGTGGGCTAATGCTGTCAATGAAAACAAACTCGACCCAGGCTGGATCCTGACCATTGCTGTCTTCTATTGTCTATTAGTTCTATCGTTCAACCATTTGATTTGGACGCCATGTGCTCATCGAACCCTGAAATCAGGGCTACGGTTTCAGATTCCTTGTCTGCTCTCTCCTTGTAAAGACTAAATGATATGAACACACGAAGTTGTTAGGCGGCTGCAAAGTGAACTGAGGAGTGGAGATGAGATGTGTAAGGAGTAATGATGCTCTCTTTGATTTTCCATTTGACGATGCAAATGCAGTTCAAGAGAACTTGGAACTGGAATCAGACAACTAATAGCTTCAATTGCTGGAGAGGAAACATATCTTCTGGAAAATAGAGATATGAGACTTATGGCTTCAGTCCTGTGAGAGGTTTAGCACTCAGATTATTGCTTATTGTAACGATATTTAGAGGTTGACTAAGATCATTTAGAATGTGGCTGTCATTTGACGGTCATGGAGTTATAGGTTAATATATATATATATATATATATATATATATATTTTGCATGAAAACAATTGATCAAAATACCCTCGAAAATTTTAGGGCGTATTTTGGTCAATTGTTTTTTCGCGAAATATTTTTTTTATATTTTTATTAGGTGTGCTTCATTGAGATGTACACATGTTCCAAATTATAGATCATTTCGATTTGTAAAAAAAAAAGAAAAAAGAAAAATAAAACACTACCGGACAATTGTGACCGTGCGATGAACTTTAGACGGTGATGAAAGTATGAAAAATCACTGTTCATTTTGTCCTATAGGTGTGAAGACGTTATATATATAATATGACCCGATTTCTATGAGTTCAAACCTGCATATGTAGAAATGTGGGCCTCTTAATAAATCTATTTTTGAGGTAGATTTTAAAACTTAATTTTTAAGGACATGTAATCTCTAACATGGAGATAATGAATATTAATAAATAAATAAAATTTAAAAGCTAGAAATAATAATTTTAGTAAAAAAACATTTGGACCATTAGTTTCTATTGTTTTTAGATGGTATACCTACTTGCATACATCTTTAAGATGAACGCGTAATTTAGCATTGTACTAAAAAATTTGGAAATTTATATACTCTTGTTTTGTACATGAATGTTTTTTTAATAATGGTATTTTTTATCATTAGGTAACATTTGGACCATTAGTTTCTATTGTTTTTAGATGGTATACCTACTTGCATACATCTTTATGATGAACGAGTAATTTAGCATTGTACTAAAAAATTTGGAAATTTATATACTCTTGTTTTGTACATGAATGTTTTTTTAATAATGGTATTTTTTGTCATTAGGTAGGGTGTGACATCATGTATATGATGTGTCACATCATCCACATTGAGCATTAAATGCCACTAGTGTGCTCAATGTGGGTGATGTCACACCCTATGTGGATGACATCACAACCCGTAACAAAAAATACCCTTATTAAAAAAATGATTCATTACTAAAATTTGTTGAGTACAATGATAAATTAGTTCATAGTGTAAGCATTCTAAATAACTATATATATATATATATATATATATATATATATATGGAAAAAGCTAGGATTAGCCCATTAACTCATATGAACAAATTATATATATAGGAAAGTATGGGGTTAGCCCGCTCACGCACCCCATTGAGATGCGTTGAACGGTGGTGATGAGAAGTTGAAAATCCAACGGTCTAAAACGCTGTAAAAGAGGTCTAGTGAGAGGCCTAGCGCAATTAGAAGAGAAGGGCGCGAGTAGAGAGAGACAAAGCGTCTTGTTTTTACAGCATTTTAGACCGTCCGATTTTCAACTTCTCATCACCAATGTTCAGCTCATCTCAATGGGGTGCGGGAGCGGATTTACCCCATACTCACCCTATATGTATTGGTTTGTACAAGGTCTTAAGTTTAAAGAATCAAAGTATATATATATATATATAGGTGGAGTTTGCATGGAGCCGAGGCTCTAAACAATCACATTGGAACCTATCTTCAAATAGTATCGAGAAAAGTAGTTTGAATAATATAAATATTTGTGATAGCCTTAAAATATATTTTAATATTTAATTATAAAATTTAAAGCTTAAAAAATACTATAGATCCAGTAGATATATGAAAACTTGAAAATCTTTAAAATCGACGGTAAAAAAACACGCTACAAGATACACTATTTTTAAAACTTGAAATCCATTGTTTTTCTCATGTACATGAATTTTGATGTCGAGATGATCAATTTAAAAATATTTGCGCATCAAAACAACCTCTTCTAATAAAATTTTTGAGGTGGGCTCAAATTTGTTTGTTTAGAGTGTCAGCTTTCTCTCTCTCTATATATATATATATACATCAAAACAACCTCTTCTAATAAAATTTTTGAGGTGGGCTCAAATTTGTTTGTTTAGAGTATCAGCTTTCTCTCTCTCTCTCTCTCTCTATATATATATATATATAGGTTTGTATGAGGTCTCAACTTTAAAGAATCAAAACAAGGCGCACCTCTAAATCTTAATTTTATGATTTGAAATTCATCATATTGAGGTCGAGATGACTAATTACAATGCTTTTGGACGCCGGAACAATCTTCTAGGGTAAAATTTTGAGGTGCACCTTACTAATACATTATAAGGTTGACTAGATGGAAGTTGGATAATTCGAAGGCATAAAACCCTCGGACCGCTTCAGTCTACCAGTTTTTCATAAGTATTTTTTTTATTAAAATTCCTCTATCTACTTGGGATTCGTCTCAAACCGAGTGGGGGGCTCAGATCGTCGTATGTAGCATTGCACACCCAATTGTGTTATTTAAAACATCAATTGCTTTTTACAAATAATTATATTAGTACGATGCTCATGCTGTGCACATTAATTACAATCTCAAATCCATGAAAGCACATTGAGAGAGTTATTTTCTAAAGAATCCTAAATTATTTGGGGATTAAAGATTAGGTTTAAAAAAAAACTACCTAAATCTCATTTTACTGTTACCTACTTACTAAAAGTATTCAATATATTATTTTTGGAGCTCCAAATTCCATAAACATTAAGTCATAATACATTCTGACGAGGTTAAGAGGTGCGGTCTTGGCAGCGCCAAAACTTTATCCTAAAAAAAAAGTTTTATTTTTCAATTAGATTTCCAATAAAAGTACTTACTACTTATTTTGAAAGAAAAGCTTATCCTGTTTGTTTTCCAAAAATAGATCAATGGCTGGCATGTTACTCTTCGATGTTTGGAAATTAAAAATTTGTCCTTCTCAAAAGTTCTTTGGACTTATTTTTATATGGAGAGAAACATGTTGGACTTTTTTCATGAGCTACCATCATTTCAATCACTGAAATACAGTTAACAGGAGATGAAGACGAATTGAGAGAGAGAGTACGATCACTTAAATACAATTAACAGGCTGGAGATGAAGACAAATTGAGAGACAGATGGGTTTAATATTGGGATAATTATAGACGCCCTTCAATTTCAACTTTTTTCACACCGTACCCCTATTATTTTTTGTATTATACCTTAAATCCTAACACTAATTTTTCTTACATCTACCCCGTAGTCAATGAGTTTTTAAGTATAGAGAGATAGAATATAAAATAATAAGTTCAAAAAGGAAGAGAGAAAAAATGGTGTTTTGGTCAAAAAATAGTTTTGGCTATTTGAAAATAGTGTTTTACTGTAGTATCAAATCTACACCCACTAAATAAAATAGATGGTGTAGATTACTGCAACCCGGACATTTATTAGTAAGGTTGCAGCTTTTTATAAACATTTACCATATGTAAGTAGCAGTTGTAAAGTCTGAACAAATGTTTTTTTATAGCCCAATGCAGTTTGTACAACGATTTTTTCTTGGTTAGTTTGAACATAAAAAAATAAAATTTGTACAATGCACCTAATATTATATTTTAAAGAAAAAATTAAAAATAAGTCCTCACAAATTTAACTTAATTTTGTAACATGATCCTCATAAGGTATGAGTACCTCTCTCCTAATTAGAAAAACTCATTCACAAATTGTCCTCGCAAGGAATGAGTATCCCTTTCTCACTTTCAAACTAAGGCATGACCCTAAGTTTCAATACTCCCCAATTCCCACAACTATAGATCTCTCTCTCTCTCTCTCTCTTTTTGAAATCAAAAGTCAATTCCTAAATTCTTCTAACTGATGAAATTATTGTCACACACTCTAAGTTGGAAATCTGAATGCATCGTCACCCTGAGCATGGTCCAGATACAAATTGGGGGAAAAAGGAAGCATCATCCCAAGATTCTTCTTCTTCAATTCTTTGAATTTGGTGGAGATTGTAAAGCTCAAAAATTCATAGGCTACTCTGAAAACATTTGCATTTTGCAAAGCTATGTGCCTCCGATACTCGAGGAGCCATGTCATCGGATGAAGCTCAGCCACTGATGACGACCATCTCTTCTGCGTCCATGAACTGTTCTCCCCACGAACTGTCACCTCCAATTTCCCTTCGGGCCACTGCCAATGTACAGAGAGAGAGAGAGAGATCTTAGCTTCATGAACATAAGAGAGAGTTACCAGAGCAATCTGGAATTCATGAAAATGAGAGACACAGAGTGAGAGACCTCGAGTAATCGGCCGGACAAAATGGTTAAGGAACGGTCACTGAATCCGGCAGCGAGCACCCCTGCGGTCTTGAGGGGCCAACCCCACACAGACACTTCCTCTGCCATTGATTCGTAGAGCACGCAGCGAGAACACAACAGTAAACCATCCTGTAATTTCAATTAGATTTCATAACTAATTCTCAAAACTCATTGTTTTTATCAACTATCAACGCCAATTGCTAACATCTCCGGAAAAATAATAATTTGGAATGACATATTGCTGAATTACAGTTAATCACTTATTACTAAATAGGATTAAATGATCAATCCATGAGAAAAATATCAAGAAAAAGTAAACCATCCCAAAAATAAAAAATAAAAAATACATAAAGATAAACCTCCTGAAAACGGCTTCACAAATGTTAAGTCAAGTAATTTCAACAACACAATGTCATAATTACTATTAAGCATCGGATTTTGTAATAATGGGAGTAATTACAAACTAAAAGAAAAATAAAAAAATAAAAATAAAAATAAAATTCAGTAAAAATTTACCTGGTTCAATGTCCATATTGAATCCAAACTACTGCAATTCTTGACTTGCCCAGGTAAAATCTTCTCAAGCTTAAGCCCCACAAAATTCATCCTCTCACTGGCACGTGTCACAATCCTAGCCCCCAACCCAAACTCCCCCACCATCTCTGCCGTCAAAGAAGGCCTGAATCCCTTGAAAGGAAACAGCCCTAAACCAGAAAGCCCCATTAATCCCAGCACCAGAACCAAACCCAAAAATCCACAAATTTTCCAATTTACCCATGATTTAGCATCCTCCAAAGTCTTGCTTTTTATAGGCCTGGACTTAGCAGTGGACCTAAGGGCCGAGCCAGCAATATTTGGGCGAGGACAAAGAGAATTTCGTCGAATTGGGGTTTTAGGATGAGAAGGGGAAGCCAAAGTGAGAGGAGAGAGAGAGGAGATAGAAGAAGAGAGAGAGGAGTTATTGGGGAGGAGATCGAGGGTTGCAGAGATGCTTGCTAGGCACATTTCACAATTGCAATTTGCGGATTTCAGGCAGTTTGGGAAGTAGGAGCTGGTCTCTGGGGCTCCTCTGGTAGGAGGTGGGGTGGTGGTGTTCCATACCATAGATTTCTTTGTTCCTTCTCTCATCTTCTTCTCGCTCATGTTTCTCTTTCTTGATTTTATTATCTATCACCTCTAATGTTTCTGTGTTTTTTTTGGGTCTAGAGAGAGAGACGATTGTCGGGATCAATTGAGAGACAGAAGAGGGAGATGAGACTTTTGAGTTTGGGGGGTCTTAAAAGCAGGTGAGACAGAAGAGGGTTTTGCTTTGTGGAGAGAGATTTTGGATAGGGGAAATGGTTAGGGTTTGTGGTGTTTCACAGAGCAGGCCCTGCTGGGAAGCAATGTCATGGTTCTGTGCTCTAGAGAGAGAAAGTGGGGGAAGGCAAAAGAATTAACGGCAAATAGCTTTTGAATTTATGGGTTCAGAGAGAGAGAAGTACCTTTCGAATTTGAATTTTGAATCCAACGGTCATTTATCTAACGGTCTCCTTTTTAAATGACCGAAACTAGACAGTGACCAAAACTAGCTATAACATTTGCTTCAATGACAAAAGGAAAAAGTAGTATGAGGTGCTGACCATATAATGTGGAAGTAAGGTGCGCCTCCGGTCGAGAATTCACTCCATATGATTGTTTCGATATTGAAAAATATTGGATTTGATCATCTCAACCTTGAAATGAATTCACTCCATATGATTGTTTCGATATTTAAAAATATTGGATTTCATCATCTCAACCTTGAAATATATGTGTTGTTTCAATATTGAAAAATATTGGATTTGATCATCTCGACCTTGAGAAAGAAACAGATTTCACATCTTAAAAATAGTGCTCTTGTAAAAAATTATTTAAAACTGTCTATTTCAAACATTTTAAGTGTCTATGTATCTACTTGATGCACACCATTTTTCAAACTCTAAATTTCATAATTTGAAGTGAAAGTTGAGTTTTAGATCATTGCAAGGATTTCCCATACATCATCTTTTCGAAAATTTTAGAGGTGTGCCTTAATTTAGTTTAAAGTTGACAATTTATTCAACCAAAAAAAAGAAAATTGAAAGTAGTGCACCTAGGTGCACTAAGAAAATACTAAAGACCCTTGATAATGCCAAGTTCACAACTATTTTGTTGGTTGGGTGACTCACGCTACCTTAATCCCTTTGTGTTTTCTTAGATTCCACTTGCTAATACAAAAGAACGCATGCAAAAGAGTATCATAGACATCACCATTGTTTTCATTAATAGACAGCGGAGGTGATCCACGGTTCTATTAATAGACACCCTCACAAACTAATTGTTCATCTCCACCTTCCATCTTGAGAAAGGAGGGCGAATGCCATTGTAATTAATACATGGTGCACTATACCTGTAATGTGCATGGTACATCTTCCCTTCTTTTTTCTTAATAATGTATATGAAAATATATTCGACTTTGTACACTGCACAATTTGGGAAAAAGTTTATACAAGGATGCAAGTAGAACTATGGATGCATCTAAAAAATCCAACATAAAAGGTAGTTTTAATGTTGAAAAACCCTTTGATTGATCATCTCGACATCGAGATGTATGACCATGACAAATAAAAATATTTCAAGTCTCAGAAATAGTGCATTTT